TTTATCTGCTAGAAGCCACGTCACTCTTACACTGTGGCACATACACAAGAGTACAAAATGTGGCTCTGTGGAAGAGACAGTGAAATCACAAGATAATCCATCGAAGACTGTGTCCATGCTCATTAAGATGCCATAGATGAACAAATAGATAAGTAGGAACTGCCTCATATTGAGCTCTGGAGTGCCCGGACTTTTTCTTTTTGGATTTACATTGAGATGCCATTGGCATCTGTACAACGGTGCATTACACAAGAAGATCATTTTCTCCATTAGCTTCCAGTGACAGCTGATGGGAATTGGTAAAATGTTCCAGCAGAAGGTTTGCTCATTTCCACAATTTGCTAAAAATCAGGTTGACTATAAGACCAAGTTTTCCTTATTTTCTCCCATTACATATTTTAGTTGCATAACAACGTAGATTGAACACCGTCTTTTAAAGATTGAATTTTATATATAACTTCTATCTTTATGAAAGACTAAAAAGTTATAATCATACAACATATAACATCTAGAAACAGATCTTATCATACAAATTAATAAATAACATCAACAAAACTATATCACAAAACTTAGTTTGTGCCTTTTTTTTTTTTCTAGCACCTGAGATTTGGATTTGAATTATACTTGGAACTGATATGATGAGAAATTGCACTTAAAAAGCACTGTGGTTTGGCAATGAATTGAGGATTTTAGAGGCAGGATGGAGCAAGGTGAGAGGTTACATAAATTAATGACGAACTTTCTGAAAATGTTCTGATGAAAGGCATAAGGGTGCGGACTGTTGTCTCTGCATTATATCTTCTACAGAAAAAAGCTACACATTATGATACAAAGATAAAATTGGGAATCACGAGATGACCTTGTGACTCAGAAGACACAAGGGTAAGACCATGATTATACAGCACGGTTCTCTCTTTCTCTGTCAATAATCTAGCTCTATTTTAGGAATCCTTTTGGGAGGAAAAAAGGAAAAACCAAATCATTTCCTAACTCAATTTCCTGGTATACACCATCAATAATAGTGAAAAGTGATGATTAAAATGAGATCCGTGGGAAGCCAAGAATGGAAGGCTTTTGAGATATTATAATTTAGATGATCAGTTGTATCCTACGGTCACAAGCTGTCACACTTCAAAAGAAAAGAAAACTCAATTTGATTTATTAAAAGCATGGATTTTCTACAACAAAGCATTGGTTTAAAAGCTTTGTTCACTGAAATTAGAAAGCAAGCATATACACAGAAACACAGCTTGTCAATACCACAACATACTTTCTTCTAGTGGCTAGTTCTAATAAATAAATGAGAGAGATGAATGAAATCAAATCTACTATGATTAGCCTTAAAATAAATTAATGAAAAGCTTTTGATACAAGTGGCCAAAATTGCTGGAAAACATGCTTTGTTGGTGATTGTTTTTGTTTTTTAATTCTGTTGTCACATATTTCCTGCTTAATTCACTCCAATTCATGTTTTTTGTGAATAAACTTAAATATGTTATTTCAAATAGTAAGCATCCTTACTCTATTCTTACCTCTTCATCTGAATTGTGCAGTGTGCTTAAACAAACACAAACAAATTTTAATACGATAGTGTCCTGTGGCAGTAGGCACAAGAAAAGGGTAGTTTTAATTACATTTTCTCCATTGCCATGCTGTTCTCTCAGTGGCCAATCTCTCTCATGGCTAAGATCATCAATTTTTATGATTTCAGCAAATTCAGTGCTTTCCTGTAGGGAAGCATTGGAAAGCTTGTGCACATGCGCAGCAAGTCACAGCATTGCACCAATCTAATAAGCTATTCAAAATGCTGTTAAATAGCTATGTCAGGCAGTCTTCGGTACTCCAGATGTAGTCAACTACATCTCTCTTAAAGGACCACACTTGAAAAAAAAAAGAAAAATACTCACTGTTTAGTAGCTATACTCCCAATGAATAAATGCATGTATATTTTTATGTATGTATTCAATGGGGGTACAATCTAAAATAGCTTGCACAAGCTACAGTTCTTATGACTGCATCCTTTGTAAACCCTCCCCTTTTTCACAGTAAGTGACTTTAGTCACTTCACAGAGAATTGCCCAATCGGAGGCTTTTGTTCTATTCTATTTCAGGTGTCTCTCCTCCTACCAATCTTTCATACATCTTTATTATGGCTGTTGATCCAAAAGGGCAAAAAAACACAAGTTGAACCAATTTTCAACCTTGCTACAAATTGGGGGGGGGGGATTAATTTTCACTAAAATAAATGCTCCTTTGCTCTGCTCTAGGCAAAATCTCCTGTCTTCAAATCTAAATGGGAGACATCCTGTCCTTGTACAGTCTTTTTCATGAAAAGATTATGAAAGTGCTGCTTGCACTTGCTCAGTGTATATTATGTCTCATCATATCTTAGCTGAGCTGCCTTTTTTTTCCAAAGTAAAATGTTTCAGGTTTCTATACTTTCGTCATAACTAAACCATCCATTCCCTTTGTTTATTTTGATTGGAGTGTTCCTTTAAAACAGATGCCCAAAACTACACTGTGTATTGAAGGTGAGATCTTACCATTGATTTCTAAAGAGATATTTTAATACTGTCCTATGAACTAACCCATTGGCCTTAGCAGCTTCTACCTGACATTGTAGTATAGTCTATTTATGATTATTCCCTAGTCCTTCTCATTTATTGTTTTTCATAACTAAGTATCATTTAGAGCAGGAGTAGGCAACTTTCGGCATTCCAGGTGTTGTAGATTAGATTTACTTTGATGCTTTGCCAGCAATATGGCAGTAAGAGCATTATGGGAGATGTAGTTCAAAACATCTGAAATGTCAAAGGTTGCCTACCCCTGATTTAGAGTATATGTTGCTTGTACATTTCTCACTCTGAAATGCAGAACTTGGCATTTACCTTCGTTAAATAGCACCTTCCACTTTTACTGGCCAGTTGATGTGCTGTAGTAATTATATTACATTACAGGAGGCTTCCTATTTTGCATAAACTCTCTTTACTAACTCCACAGCAACAAAGAAAAAGGTATAGCAAGAACCAATCAAAATGCAGTAGGAGGTATAGTATCCACAGTGAATAGGCTCCTCCTCCTCTTTCTTTGCTGCTCCTTCAGCAGACAGGTCAGAGTTTTTGGCTCTTCTCTGTGTTTTGATTACATATAGTCTTTTATCCATATCTTCTACTTCTACAAGTTTTTTTTCTATTTGTTCCTATATCTGTCTAACACTTTATTTACTACAATTTGCTGTTCTTTAGCCTTATTTTGTATTGGTGTATTATTTTTTATTGCACCCCCCACCTTTTTCTTTCCCCGACCATCGCGGGTCTTGCGCCACCCCAAACCCGGCAGTAACCCCTTAACGCCAGGGGAGATAGTTCCTACCTGGAACTGCTCCCTCACAGCCTCCCAACTGTGCGCATCCATGAGCCTGGCTACGGCCGGATCGGTTCGTTACAATCTATCAGTGACAGTGGCCATCTTGGATCTCGTGTCTCGCGGCCGCCATTTTAGGTGTTTCGCAAGTTTTTTTCTCCCTTACTCTGCAGAAATTGTCTCTGGATCCTTTGATCAACCAGGCAGGGGTCTCCAAAGGTCAGTTATAACTTGCTGCTGTGGTAAGCACTACAGGGCTCAACTCCTTGTGCATTATGGGGTGAGGTCCCTTATTCTGTGCTGCTGATCAATACTCTGCTTTGGCACTCTCTGTATACCTGGGTCAGGCCCAGATAAAATCCCAATCAGACCTACTGCTGGAGGTTTATATTTATATTTAGTACTGCTTTTAGTACTGCTGCTACTTCCTCTATCCGAGTTTTCATCTGACCCTGCTGGGGTTTACTTATAGCACTGCTGGTACTATAACTTGAAGTTATCATACCCTCCTGGGGTTTTTTTCACTAGTACTGCTGGTACTATCACCACTACCCTACAAGTTTGACCCCTGGCCTACCTAAGCCCTGTACCATCTCAGTGCCAAGGACCCTCCCCGACTCATGATGGAAGATTCCCAGAATACCCCTGTGGACTTCCAGGCCATGGTAAATGCAGCTGTGGCCGCGTCCATGGAAGGCCCTGTCACACATGATGACGGTGAAGGCCGATCAGACCAAATCCTCCAAACCTCAACATACACGTTACGAGTCAGACTCTGAGGCCTCGGACTCCCACACTAAAGAGGAACCCCAACCTGGCAAATGCCATTGGAAGGGTGAGAAGGTACAACACAACCCACACAAGGGAAAGGCACCCGCTAAGAGACGTAAATCTGCACCTACCCCACCTATCCCCTGTCTCCACTTGTATTTCTTCATCATCCGGTCTCTGATGTATTTGTATATCACTGCTCAGGTCAGGTACAAGGTCATGCATGTCTGGATTTGGATATAGTAGGGGATTTAGTGCTTAATACAGTGTGTAATTCTAGATAAATTATTGTACTTATTGGTTTAACTATACGTGGTTAGTTATTCGTCATTTTATAGTGGGGTAAATTCCTTGTTTTCATGGTCTCGCGACTAGTGCCTAACCTATTTTCACATTCTTTTTTCAGTTTAATTCAAGGCGGGATTCTGAATTCTTCTGGAGGTGTCATACAAAGTTTACCCTACGTTTCAAAAGGATTATCTTTGTTCGTTTTGTTGATTATTTCCGTCTGTGAGGCCAAGGAAGATCGTTTGTTCATTCTGTTGGGATTTTCCCATCTGTGATGTCACTAGCTGAAAGAGGAGAAGCCTATTCACTGTGGACACTACACCTCCTACTGCATTTTGATTGGTTCTTATATTTTTTTCTTTGCTGCGGTGGAGTTAGTAAAGAGAGTTTATGCAAAATACTTGCCTCCTGTCATTTTTAAAATTAAGATTATAAGTACACTAAAACACTAAAGCATAATCTTCAATTATATATGAAAGGATAATATTGAAATTATGCGTATTAGAGAACAGCCAGTGGATAGTTAATCTCTGGAAACAGCATTCTAAGTAAACAAATAGACAGTCACATTAGCTGAGAATGGTTTTACAAGTCTTTTTATTTATACCATTTATTTGTACCATGGTTAATATTTTTTGTTGTTTAATTAAAGAGTTGATTCTAACACAGAACTGGACTATGGTATCCACCTGTTTTATTTATTTTGAAATACTTTGTTTCCATCTAGTGGCAAGAAATGGTACTGCTAACAAAAAGTAGAAAAGGCTTAACGAGCAAATACATCTCCTGTAATGTCTGTATCATTATAATTAGCCATATTTGTTCCAGCATTCTACACAGTTTACGGATCCTGAAGGAATTCAATGGTAATGCTAGGTGCAGAAAATATCAATAATCAATGCTCCAATAACAATAGCATACCACTCGCTCTATATTACAAAAACATCCTACCTATTTATATTTTAAAAATATCTAGATAGATCGATAGATAATTTAAGATTGAAAGAATGCAATGTTGTTTCAAGTAATTCAAATATGTCCAATGAAAGGAGACACATTTACTACACATGTTGGTTTTGGGAAAAATATTATTACAGGCCAGTAAGTCATTTAGACTTAAACCATACTTTGTTTGATTGAGAGTACAGGAGCAATATTTAGGAACAGAAAAATTTGATTCATTCACTAAGCCACACATTTTGGTAAATTGGTAAGCAATATGAAACATTTAGGCCAAATTTGTTAAACTTGAAAAAAAAAAGAAAATCTCAAGTTCAGTTATTTTCGCTTACTTTGTACAGTTTTGTTAATTCTTCATAATTCTCGGTACATTTAATAAAACTCACCCTTTCAATCTTAATGAATCAAAACTGGGCCATCCAGGATGTTTTGAAATGAGCTATATGATTCACTGCATTAGCTGCTAATGTAATCCAGAAGGATTTAAACCCAGACTGAGAGCAACTATGAGCAACTATACACTTAGATCTGATCATGACCTCTCCCATTTCTTAACATATACATGCATCATATAATCCAGGGCTTTTTATATTTCATTTACTATGATCACAGTAATTCTAACACCTCAGTGTTTTATGGTAACTGTTTTAACTTCAGTGAAGAATTCATATGAATCCTTGGCACCTTCTCTTCCTATACCTGATGCTTTCATACCACCAAATGGTAAATTAAGATCTCGAATGAGCCAACAGTTGGTCCACACTAGCCCTGATTGCAATCTTTTTGCAACCCGGTGAACACGACCTACATCTCTTGTCCACACAGTGGCAGCCAAGCCGTATTTGACACCATTAGCTTTGCAAATCACTTCTTCTTCCGTATCAAAAGGTACTACACACGCCACTGGTCCAAATATCTCTTCCTGCATGCATGGGGAGTCTTCCTTCAATGCAGTGATAATAGTTGGCAACATGAAATATCCACCTTGATTTCCAAGTGGAATGTGCATGGTATCCACATCTTCTCCACAAAGGACAACAGCTCCTTCAGCCAGTGCCTTCTTCACATAGCCCCTAACCTGGTAAAGAGATTGTTTATTCAATTTAAATAATATACAATATAGCTTATGAATAACATACATTCATAGGTTACTTTATTGGGTACACGTGTACACCTGTTAGATGGACATGCTTTTGTCACACCAATATGTCCAATTTTAGCTGTTAGACCACACCCACCCCATAACAACTTAAGCTTACTTCTTATCTTCAGATGTTTAAACATTGGGCAAAATTGGGGCTCTGGTGCCTGGCACTTTTGCCACCCTCCTTCCATTTCGCTCTGCACTGTAGTATGAGGAAGAGAAAGCTGAGTAGTTGGTGATATGCTGAGAACATAAGCTGCCTTTCAGCCAATAAATGGACACCTATTGAGAGGCTGAGTGCATCAAAGTTATAGGCAAAGGAACAATTAATGGTGGACAACTTACTGCTGTTTTGAAGGCATGGTAGTACATTTAGACTAAAAGGTTGATGCTAGCAATTCTTTCAGCTAGCTCTATTTGTGTTACTGCTCAGACAAGAAAGGGAAATTCATTAAACGTAGTGAACTTCAATTTTTTTTTAAAATGTGGATGTTTAGTACCATTTAAACCTCATCAAACTGCTTTGGGATCAACTGGACTGAAGCATAGAAGGAAACCCATCTTCAAGTTTGACATTTGTGGGAACCTCTACAACAGTATTGAAAGAACTTTCTGAACAATATTTGAATATAACAATGGTGACCAACTGTGGTATATCTGCAAATCTGGCTACTTTGAGGAATCTAAAATTTTGGTTACATTTAAATACATAACATTCCATGATTTATTTTTTCACATCCAATTGTTTAAGTAAATTGAAAAATTTGTGTTTTCTCACTATTCTACACACGAATTGGCATACTTCTGGGCTCAGCATGTCCTGTCATTGAGCCCATGTTTTGCTGATGTAGGCCTTGATTTAATATTGTTGGATAAGCTTTCCAAAAGATTTAATATTTTTGGATAAACTTTTAAAATGATTTTTTTTCAACATATAACAAATATATTATATATTAAAAAATATATATACATTGAATACTGCAGACTTATGTAATGTATGATCCTATACTATAAATAAACCACCATTATTGGTGCCTAGGTGAGGTGTTTTTAAATAGAATGATTACTTGTCCAACAAAATTAAATTGAGGCCATAGTTTGTTGTTAAATGACCACTAAAGGCACCCAGACAACTCAAGTGGTCTGGTTGTAGTGGTCCTTTAGTTTTAATGTAAAGCACTGCGGAAAAACTAGCGCTATATAAATACCAATAGTAATAATAACAATAACTGAAATGTTTCCATTGGAGGGTTAAGCACACCTCTAGTGACTGTCTTCCTGACAGCCATTGTAGGCACTTTTCTGTGAGAATTGAGTTTGACTGTGTTCTCTATCAAATGCTACTCTTAGAGAACATTTATTTGTGGCAGCATAGCGTTTTGCCCCACACGCACAGTAGCCTCCCAATGCTTCCCTATGGGATTGACCGAGATTAGCAATTTTGACAATCTCAGCCAGGGAGGCGGTGCAGGACTGAGTCTTTTCATCATATTCAGTAAACAAAAGTTTATATACATACTAATGGTGATTTTTAGGCTCCTCATAGATATATAGAATACATTTTTATTGAATATGATGATAAGACTGTAGAACTTGTATAAAGGAGCCAAAGCGAGGCTTGGAGTTTCACAAGTGGAGAGCAAGATGGAAATTATACATGCGCCAGCATCAGGATGATATCACCATGTGGAACACATGGCCATAGTCAAAATGGATGAAAGCGGTAATGAAATGGATACCAAAACTTGAGATGACCATGAGGAACGCATATTGGAGTGGAACATTAAAAGTCATGCACAAACAGGAAATTGGTAGTTCTGGGTAGCAGAGAGATTTGGCACGCAAATGTTTTATATATATATATATATATATATATATATATATATATATACACAATGCCAAAAAACCAGTGGATTGCAGTATGCAATGATATCATAATAGCATAACATAATATTTCAAAGACAAGCTTTCTGGAGTTTTTGCTCTCTTCCTCAGGTCTGAAGCAATACTGAACTATATATAGAGGTGGGAATGAGGCATGAATCACATGCCAATGAATTAACCACTGGGAGATTGAAAGGGAATTAAAGGAGGAGAAAAGAGGAAATGGCATTGACTCAAGATGTCATACAAAGATGAAATGGGTTTCAGGTTTTAACTCTCTAGATTTCTTTTAGTATTTTTATCTGGTGTGGCTCCTAAATGTGTGAGGTTGATAACCTTTCATCTTTTCTTTATAATTGGGTACAAAACATATTGCACTATATCTCCCTTCTCCCTATCTCAATAATTCAATATTAGGGCAGAGAGGAAAGAAGAAAGGAGGGCAGGATTCAACTCTGATAGCGTCCAGTTTGTTATATGAAAGAGACATTCTTTAACGGGCTCTATAGAATATGAGTTGACATTACCTATAGAGAATATATATATATATATATATATATATATATACATATATTTAAATTTTTCCTATTGCATAGATCTCCCGACTGCACAGCCCAATTAGTCCTCTTGGTAACTCCCCGTTACGTCAATTACACTCCATGCTGTTGACCATCAGATACCGCATTCAAGTACTCATATAACTACAGCTGGAATAGCTCCAAATTATTTTACCACTTACCACCAACGATTTGGGTAAGAACATTCCAGCACTTCCATATCTCGAACTATATAAACCATATTTGACGCTATTTCCCACTGCAAGTATATTCCTTTAAGAGGACCTTTCGTATTTTTCTTATTTTTGTGCCAGACGGGCTTCTGCATAATTTTTGCTCAATGTACCTCTTTGTGCTATTCTTGTTTTCTTTAGCTGTTTAATAAAAATAATATTGCTGCTAAACACTGGAGGTCAGTGTATTCACTAAAGGGAGAATACCCATTACATTATGTATTATTTTCTACAACTGATGTGATGGACTTCACTTGCAATTTGAACATACAGGAAGAACCACTTAGTCACATTTACATTGTGGTATTGCTACAATTAAACTAGTTAAATTTTGGGTTTGTTTAATAATTAAAATTAATAATTTTCAATGTGTACTATATGAAGCTTATGGCAGTTCATCTGTAACCACAACCGTTTGTATAAATAGGCATTCACTTCATTGTTTTCCCTTCTATTATATGTATTATACTATTTGGTGAACAATTTTTCTATTATGTATCTTTACTGAGTTTGTTTGTCACACTATGTTAAGTGATTAATAAAGTTATATAGAGAACGCATGACGCAGCAACGTTTGCTGACGTCACAATGCGGAAGTGGGCGAATACTATGGAGTGGATGCGGCTATGTTTTGCCGCCAAAAACAGGTATTTAAACAATTTTCTACCTTGCTTGACAGAACACAGGGGCCGTCGAAGGGACAGTTAAGTCCCGAGCGCGCAGCCCGTCCCTAGACTGGATTGCCTGCATTAGTTCATTGCCGTTCGTTCAGACCACATACCCACTGGGAGCTGCTTCTGACCACACAACAACTGGGAGCTGATGAAGTGACTTTCCGTTTGCTACAACTACTATTACCTTCACCTTCGTTTAGATCATCATCTGATTACAACTTTGATTTGGTACACCAAGAACAAGATTTCTACAATTGGTGAGATCTATCCAGATACAGCTAAATATAGTGCACTATATTGGACTACCAGGACTTTCAGATTATTTTGCTTGTTTTTCTATATATTTTTTCTTTTCATTCCTTATTTTCTTTTTCTTTTTATTTCCCCTTTCCTTTTTTCTGGTTTGGATTGGGGATTTTTTCATTATTTTCATTATTTTTTATTTATATATTTTTTTCATTTTCCTATCGGTTTCATTTTTTCATATTTTTCATTTTTTTATTTTTTCAGTATTTTCAACAAACTTTTCAATGAATTTTCACCAAGTGTATACACATTAGATGAACTCTATCCAATATATAGAATATTCTGTATATACTGTATATATTGTATATATTCAATGTATATAATTGGTGTACTCAGGATGAAATGAACATTTCTATTATCATACTTCATATAACTTTATTTAGAATAAATATCATGAATTTTTCACAGCAATAACTTCTAGTATCAATTATTACTATTTGAGTGCGGTATTCATTATATAGTTTTTAGGATTGTTGTTTGGAGGTTGTCTTTGGGGTTAACCTCGAATACCGGCACCTATATGTAATTGAGTGCCAGCACACGTTGTAATTTTTAGTTAAATTTTGTACCCCAGGATTTTCTGCTTTTTTTTTTAGAGTGTCCTTTATGGGTATACTCCTTTTTTTTTTTTTTTTATTGAGTCTGCTTTTTCTTTTCCTTTCCCCCCCAACATTTTTGCATATGTTTTCTATGTACCTTAGTCCATAATGTGTAACAGGGTTTTTGTATGCATACATCCAGAAAATAAGTTTTGTCAAATAAATACTTGATGAAATGTATATTTGCTTCTGTAAAAAAATTCTGAGTGTGCATGGTTCCGTAGTTCTATTGTATATACTATTATACTATTATATTGTTTATTTTTTTTCATTTGAGAAATTTCCTATGGAATGGTTATCCCAGAATATATGGGAACATTACACCTGAATTGGCTTGGCATCAGTGGCATCTCCAGGATTCATATTTGGGGGGGCACATAAGGGGTCAGGGACAAAAGTAATAATTATAAAAAAGTTATAATATGTGTATAATATGTTATAATATGTGTATATATGTGTGTGTGTGTATATACATATATACACACATACATATACAGGGCTCGACAAATCCCAGGCGCCAGGTCGCCATGGCAACTAGACATTTTGCCCTGGTGCCTGGCATTTGTCATCCCTTAACTAAGCGGCACAGGAAACACTAAAGCCTGCCACCAGGGGGAGCAGGGAGGCGACGCGCGAGGGAGCAGTAACCTTGATGCAGTTCCTTTCTGCTCCCTTGCGCGCTGTTTAGTGACATGACGTCACTCCGACCCCGGCATCACTATAGGGAGCTCGCAGGGGAGCAGAGAGAAACTGCAGGAAGATTAGAGAGGATACACACTAGACGCCAGGGAAAGATCCACTCAGCTCTCCCAAAGGTAGGGAGGCTGTGTGGATTTAAATTAAAATAAGCAATTTGTGAATGTGTGAGAAAATGTGTGTCTCAGTCAGTGTGTGTCTCAGTCAGAGAGTGTGTGCCTGTCACTGTATGTCTGTGTCTGTCAGGGTGTGTCTCAGTCAGAGATTGGGGTGGAGCTTGTGTACGGTGAGGCGATCTTCCATGCAGGGGCAGAGCTTGTGTGCCGGGGAAGCTGCTGCACAGTGGCGGAACTAACATAGAGTGGGCCCTGGTGCAAAAACTGAAGACACATGCCCATCGGGTGGCCCTAAAAGCACGGGCCACTCGATGTGCCCTGGTGTAACCACAACACCAGCACTGCCTATAGTCCCACTGCTGTGCCTTCCTTATTACAGGCAAGACACCTTTTCAAGGAAACTGGAAAGCCTTTTCAGGAGATGCAAGATCATTTTCTGTGGTGTTTAGAAGGGGCTGTGGTGTTTAGTGTCTGTATAGAGGAGTCTGTTTATGGTGTACTATGTGTAACTAAGGGCTGTAGTGTGAGCTCATGTATAAGAGCTTTTGAGATTGTATGTGTGCTGAGAGGGCCTGTAAAGTCTGTGCGTGTGCATCTAGGGGCTGCAGTGTGAGTGTATGTGTATTGGGGGTGCATTGTGTGCTTATCAACAAGCTGTAGTGTGTGTATGTATGCATATAAATATATATATGATTTGGTATGTAATGGGGTGAAGTATGTATGTAAGTGTGTGGGAGTGAAAGTATGTGGGTAAGAAGTGTGTATGTGGGTGAAGAGATGATATTTGGGATGAAGTGTGTGAGGGAGAGACTGGGATAGGGAAGGGCTTTACAATTTTTACTTTAATAATTGTTTGGTTTTAAAAAAAAAATATATATATATATATATATATTCTAGAGAATGTCTAGAGTCTAAAACAAATAGGTTTATATAATTTTGTGGCCTAGCTGTGTGTAATGAAATTAACAAGTATGAACATTTGATATACAAAAATAATATTTAAATGGTTATATAGATTGTCTATGGCAATACCTTTGCAAGGTGATTTTCACTAATCAAAGCTCCCATGCAAGCTGTTGGGTCAGAAGGCAATCCGACTTTCCATTTCTTGACAGCTTCTACAAATCTCTTCAGAAATTCATCATATATTGTCTTCTGGACATAAATTCTGCTTGTGCAGAGGCAGATCTCTCCCTATAAAAGGATAACGCCAATTAATGAATTTCCAAAAATTACTTATAAGCTAGTTAGTAATGTTGTAGTCAAAGTAAACTCTGTATGACTCATATTTATTTCAACAAGGTCTTCTTAAATCCATCTTATTTTTCACAATATTACATTTTAATCTTTAATTCTCTTCCTCGTCATCTCCCATCTTAACTACTACAACCTAATTCTGATTTTATCCCTGACAACTCTGCAAACTCAAGTCCATAAAATATTTTGCAGCCTAACTTAATTTTCTTGCATTTCATCCACCTCCACTGCTTCATATACACACAAAACACACCAAGCTTGGTATATTTGTTTGGTATGTTGGCTCTCCTGTTAATGATCCTGTGTATAATATTGCCATCTAGTGGTGGTAAGAGTAATTACTATACCACAGTTTGCTACATTCCAGTGATTGTCACAATAAGGACATGAAGAAGCAGAGGTATCTAGAGATGGTATTCATTTTTTCCTGTCTCAAATGTCCTGTACATTTTCCTCTTAACTCATAGTTATTTAATTTCTAAATTAATACTTTTACTGTTAAACAAGTGATCTGTAAAAAATGTTTTGCATTTATGAACCACTTTACAATTTTGCTGAAGGAGCAATCGCTGTCAATGATAAGATGTCAGTGATTTCTTTACTTCTGTCAGTGATAAGAAGTAAAGAAAATAAAAAAAAACAGACGCCTTATAGTGAGAAAGACACAGATGAAGGGCTGATCAAGATGATGAAGAATGCAAAATTTGAAAAAGTGAGTGGTGGGAGCATTGGGATGCAAAGACTTCAAACCAGTCTGCCAAATCCAGGATAACTATTTAAACAAACTAGTGTCTGGTTATTTGTATTTACAAACCAAATGTATGTAGGAAGGAGGGTTAGAGGTTTTTAGAGCACTGGGCTGACTTTGCGCATGGATACAACCTTTACTGTAAACTCTGTATGATTCATATTTATTTGGATAGCCACAATAGTCCGCCGCATACATACAAACTACCTAACTATAGGTATATGTCATGTGTAAATGCAATATTACTTAGCTGTAGCGCTTTCAACACTATACTTCCCACTCTACCCCTCCATATTAGTACTAAGTCAGCAATCTATGGATGTCTACAACTGACAGGGAAACGCACAACAGATAGCTCACCTCACACCCTTGGCAGGGCCTGAAAACAAAGTGACCAGCCGGCTTACAAATAGACCACTACATAATTACCAAAAAACATTTTATGCTAATGTGTACCTGCTTTCTCGTTGCTTACTCATGCCGGTGGGATGAGTATAAATAAAGAATTTAAAAAATAATAATTTTTTAATAAAAACTGCACTTTCACTGATGATGATATTATCAACATTACAAGTTTTAGTGTTTTAAAACCCTCATATTTGTGTTCAGCGAATACAGTACAACAATGAAAGTACCACAGTACCCCACAGGTACAGGTTTTATGGTGTTATGGAGAATTACAGGGTTAAATACAGGGATTGTAAATAAAATTACCTTTCTGCCTGGGTTGTCAGGCAGGTCTGAGGGTATATGATAACATTATACAAATATATTCGTGGCCAATACAAACCATTGTGTGGAAATCTATTCACAAACAGGACTTTACATAGGACACGAGGTCATGAATTTAGACAGGAAGAAAGAAGATTTAGTCTAAGACAAAGGAAAGGGTTTTTACCATATGAAAAATAAGGATATGGAATTCTCTGCCTGAAGAAGTGGTTTTATCAGAGTACGTACAGATGTTCAAACAGCAACTAGATGCATATCTGCAAAAACAGAATATTCATATAATTTTTCAATGTAGGGTAAATGCTTCTTGATCCAAGGATTAATCTGTCTGTCATTCTTGGGTCAAGAGAGATTTTTTTTTCACTAGTGTGTTGTAAAATTAGAAGTCAGATTGTTTTTTTTATTTTTGCCTTCTTTTGGATCAACAGCAAAAAACAAATATGAGGAAGGCTGAACTTGATGTATACATGTCTCTTTTCAGCCTATGTAACTATGTACAAAAAAAAAGTTAATTATATTTAATTGGATCAAACTGTTAATGGATGAATATTCTTTTTATATTTTCTGTGAAATTATTTTTGAGGCTTGAGTGTACCTTTAAAACAGAATGTGTGGAAAACAGATTAAGGACACCATTAGCAAATGGTCTGACAGCATGTTTTTTTATATTATTTTAGTGTTTACAAAACCCTTTCAATACCTTGCTCAGTACGAACTACAGTTTGCCACATATAACTACCATCTCAGTGTTTTGTTCGCAGGCATTCCCCACAGGCTATCCATCAGACACGATCATATCACACCTTTGATTTACAGTACAAATTAATATATATCCTGTTCTGCTGAGGACCCAAGCCAAGTGCCATACAATATTTGAAGTCCTCATGTCATCTATAACCTTACAATACCAAAGGACTATATTATTGGCACACAATATTAACGGTTGACAACTATCTCTATACTAAATGTGAGCAAAAAATATTTGAGCCGTTTCTTTCTAATTAAATTTCTGTAAATTGTCGAATAAATGTTTTACGTGTAGTTTTACCTGTGGAATCTACAGTTGAGATTGATTAAGAATAATTTAGTTCCAGTTTTGATTAGCAAGAATTTTATTCTGATGAATAATTTCAATTACATTTTTTCACAAGTCTACTCTATGCAATGGTGATTAAACACACCACAATCACCACAACATGTTGTGAGCTTAGAATGTTACACTAAGATGCACACCCATCATACACATTGCAAAATTCTTACACTATTAACCACAAAATGATATTGGTCCAAAAATAACTCCTTTAGAAGCAGAGTGCTCACATCTAGCAATATGGGATGTCAATCTTTTGCTTGCAATTTGATACACATGGTGCATTCAGCAGCTCTGACTGATGTTGGGTATTCTGCATTATGTGAAGTGAGGTGTGAATGCTCATTAATTAGATTAATGATGTAATATATTTTCATTATCGTGTGGCAAGTTTTCTATTAGAACACTAACACTCACTTGATTAGAGAAGCTTGACCTGACCGTAGTGTTGATGCACTCTTCTAGGTCAGCATCTCCGAATATTATAGCTGGGTTCTTGCCTCCGAGCTCCAAAGACATTTTTTTGCAATATGGAGCACTTTTTTCGATGATTCGCTGTGCTGTTGCTGTGCTCCCAGTAAAAGAGATGATGGGAACATCAGGATGACACACTAGTGCTTCACCAGCTCTGGGACCTGTTCCAAAAACTATATTCACTACACCAGGTGGGACACCTTGAAGAAATTGGTAAAAATTAGAGTTATATATATTGAGCAGTAAAGAGAATGACAGGCTACTCATCACATTTCTGTTGATTCTCTCATTATAAAAACCTGCTTCCTCCCTCATTTCAATATGTTATGATTGAACCCCTAATTGTTTTTTTCTGACAATATAGTGCTTGAGTGGCTATTTAGGTATCTAGCCCCTCTGTGTAGTGAAAAGGTTTTTTACTCACCTTTTCTCCCACTCCTTACCGATCTTGCCACAGTTGATCCTGCCAGGCTCTACCTCCATGGCAGAGATCATCAATCTTCAAGATCTTAGCTAAGCCAATTCAATGCTTTTCCATATGAAACCAGTGGGAGACTATTACACATGAGCAGCAAAACGCCATGTGCCTCACAGCAGCCCCACTGGACCCCAACGACAGGTCCATGTCAGCTCTCCCAAAGGTAGTGAGGTTGGGTGGAAAGGTTAAAATAATAATAATAATAACTTGTGAGTCTGTATGTGTGTGAATCAATTCATCTTGATTGGGAACATTCAGCCCCTCCATGCATAGTGTGGAGACGCTGAATGCCACCTCTGCACACTGTGCAGCACTGACACAGAAAGCTCCTCTAGTGGCCGTCTGAGTGACTAGAGGTGTTACTAGGCTGTAATGTAAAGCCTGCAGGGACTGGCTATAGACACCAGAATCACTGCATTAGGCTGTAGTTGTTCTGGTGACTATAGTGTCCCTTTAATATACAATTCTTCTTTTTTACATGATCTATGAACCAAACAGCATTTTTATATGATGTATATATTTTGCATTACACTTTTTGGCTCAGCTTTGTACCCTTTTGGTATATCTAGTTTGGATTATGTCTTCTATATTTGTCTTATTTTCAACACAGTTCACCATTTAGTAAATAAATGTAATGGCCAACTTTTTCAGTGGCCTGATCCCTGAAAACCCTAAAAATAGTAGCTTAACATTTTCAGTCAGTCAAACAACATTTTCCAGTGATGATAATAGGTATTTCCTTGGAACAAAGAAGCTCAATAAAGTTACCTGCTTCTTTTAGAAGTTTACACATCATCCACGCAGTGACTGAGGTCATCTCACTGGGCTTTGCCACAACTGTGTTCCCACATGCGATAGCAGGTGCAATCTTCCAGGTTAGTAAATACAGGGGCAAATTCCATGGACTGATTAGGCCAGCTGACAAGAATAAAGATGTAAGTATAATAATAACCAACACTGTAACAGGCTTTGATAGTTTTACTGTTTTTCAATGCCATTACCTACTCCAATTGGAGTGCGCACAGTGTAATGCATGCAGTTCATATGGTCCATCTGAGTGCATTCTGTAGTGTGATGCAGTACCGAAGATGCAAAGAAGCGGAAGTTGTACACTGCCCGAGGGATATCGATAGTCCGAGCAAATGTCACTGTTTTCCCTGAGAGATTGGTAATGTTAATATACAAAACATTAGACAGAGAAAGATGTCCAGGCAGACAAAACACTGAGATCAGATCATACTAGAGATTAGATCATAACGAATCCAAACGCATCAGAGTAGTTCTGTAGAGTCAGGGTCGTGGAATGGAGTCAGAAGCAATTATTGGGTTACTGGAGTTGGAATAGGAGACAGTAAGAAACAAAAAAGTAAAAAGAAAATAGACAGCCTCATTACCGAGCTTAATACTGCGGAAGGATTAGGAAGTACCAACTAAATCATTTCTGGTTTAGAATAAGACTAGGGAGTAATGAAAGTATTTAGAAAATTGGGCAGACTAGATGGGCCGAATGGTTCTTATCTGCCGTCACATTCTATGTTTCTATGTTTCTATAGATCAGGAGGAAGATAATGTACAAAATTGTTAAGCGAAAACAGGGTCAGTAATGTAGCCTTGACTGATACACAGGAGACAGGAATAATAACTTGTGGTCAGGAACTAGTCAGGGTTGGAACACAAGACAAGAACAAGTGATGGTCAATAATGTAGCTGACTCAGGAACAGACGTTAAGTAAGTAAACTTGCTTAAGAAACCACAAAATGGCACAGGATAACAGAAATGCAAGAGTATGTATAAATCCATGCCCTTTTGTGTCATTGACCCAAACACAAAGTGCCAGGTAGGACGCCAACCAATTAACACAGAATGACACGATCTCAACCTAGGGACAATAATGCTGCAACCAGAATGATGCAGCCATGCTTTAGAAATTGACAAAGCTGTATCCAAGTTAGAATGGGAAACTAAGGGTCATGTTGAAAATGACATGAATGCGTCATTTTATGATCACAAGCCCTGAAATGTAATAAATGTCCTGCATTGATACAGATATTGGAATGGGATTGCTTTGACTAGGACTGTATTGACACAGATGTATCACAATGTTACCTAACAACAATAAATTGTTTACTGTAGAGCACCACTGACAACCCTCTGATACTGGGAAGAGTCTGATTTATGTATGTCTCAGAATGGGTTTGTTATACATTAATTGATAACTGATAAAATTGCAGTCACAATGTATTGCCATGAATGGAGTTTGGGTCCTTCTCAAAAATGTTAAAGGTTTTCAATATTATGTTTATTTATTCTTATATTTAACAAATACAAATTTTAAAGATATTGAAAAAATGTTATTTAAGTTTAGAAATGCAAGCCTTTTTATCCTGCGACTGGGCACTTTCATTTGACTTCCATTTTACTGGACTTAATCCCAGCAACAATTCTAGTATGCAAACAGTATTCAACCCAATCAATGGCTGCTTTAAGTGAGAATCCACCCCAGCACTGCCAAAGGTAGGGAGGCTAGGGGGATTGAATTTTTTTAAAAATTTGAGTGTGTTTGTGTGTGCGTGTGTCTGTTAATGAGTATGTGTGTGTGTCTGATAGTGTGTGTTAGTGTGTGTCTATTAGTGTGTGTGTGTGTTATGGAGTGTGTTACTATGTGTGTGTCTTAGTGTGTGTGTGTGTGTCTGTTAGAGTGTGTGTGTGTGTGTCTGTCAGTGAATGTGTTAGTATGTGTGTGTCTGTTACTGAATGTGTTAGTGTGTGTGTATCTGTTAGTGTGTATGCATGTCTGTTTGTGAGTGTGTATGAGTGTTTGTTAGTGAAAGTGTATGCGTGTCTGTTAGTGAGTGTGTGTGTCTGTTAGTGACTATGTGTGCCTGTTAGTGAGTGTGTGTGTCTGTTAGTAACTGTGTGCCTGTTAGTGAGTGTGTGTGTTTGTTAGTGAGAGTATGTGTGTGTGTGTCTGTTAGTGAGTGTGTATGCATGTCTGTTAGTGAGAGTGTATGTGTGTCTGTTAGTGAATGTGTGTCTGTTAGTGACTGTGTGTATGTTAGAGAGTGTGTGTCTGTTAGTGAGAGTGTGTTTGTGTCTGTTAGTGAGTGTGTATGTTGTCTGTTAGTGAGTGTGTATGTTGTCTGTCAGTGAGTGTGTATGTTTATTTAGAAGGTGGGGCAGGAGGGGGGAGTGCCTGAGTTTTGTCATGCCTAGGGCAACACAAAACCAGGATACACCACTGCCCTTTGTACAAATGTCCTCACAGGGTCTGATAAAAGTGAGAATTTAACCAGCAATATGTAAAGAACAATAGTGGGTAAGGTTTTGTACCTAACTACAACTTGCAGATCTGATATTGCAGTTGCAGTGGGAATATTGTGCAGACGTGAGCTCTCCCAGTCAAAGAAGCTGGTTTGTATTAAAGAGAGCAATACGAAATCTCAAATGATATGTTCACCTTGAACAAATGTTATCAGCTGTCAGACATCCCAGACTAGTAGGATATAACATGCAGACTGAGCTGGGGACAAATCAGTTAGTAAATCTATAAGTGGCCTTGTGTTTTTATATGGGATTGGTCATATCAGCTGGACTAGTCTAAGTGAGAATCAGTTGCACATTCCTCTGCAGAAGCAAACAATATCTACACAGTAGATGCACTCAAGGAAGCACAAAGGCTTAACCAACTTCTAGGGACTGCCAGAGCCAAAGTTAATCTTACTGATGGAAGACAACAAGAGCTGTATGAACATTGTGCAAACAGAAAAATTAAATGCATGCACCAAATTAGATGTCTTGCAATAGGGTAGGGTAGGGAACCCCCAAGTGGGCACTGTAAAGTCCCAGGTCAAATGTTGTCACTGTTTCATTGTTAGCCCAGAGTCTCCTGTAATACAGAGAGAGAACTAACACCTGCAAAGATAGAATTGGTGAAAGTACCACTTTAACGCACCATACTGAGTTAATTTTACAGAACAGTGCGGAGGAACTGCTGTGAAATCAATGTGTTAATCAAATGGGGTAATGGGTTAATACAACTAGGTTTAGGGTAAATACAGCAGATGTGGTATTTATGACCATAGTTTTATGTATTACTTGGAAATCAATCACATATTTGGTGCCATCAACCCTGCACCTAACAGTCTTTCTATTATCGCTTTAGGAATTTCCCCACTTTTTCTATTTTCATAAATATTCTTAGTCTTGTCTTCCTCTTCTTCTTTTATTGCCCCTAGCTCACCTTGCCTTTCTATTCTCCACATACCCTTTATTGTTCATTTTCAACTTGCCCATATCTCGTATTTTTGGCACAGTTTTTGCACCACTTATTCTTTGTGAATTTTTATTTGCCTTTTTACTAGCAATATATTTACGGATAGGCTAAATAATCCACGGCTCTAGGGGGCAGATTATAGGAAGCAGCATGCTCCCTCCTCTCCAAAATGAAAATGGCAAAACGTGATGGCTGCACAGCTGCTCCTTTTTTAAATAATAAGCTTCATCTCACAGTGTCTTGAACTAGGACTCTACATGTTATTTGGGACACATGGGAGCACTAAGAGTTGCCTTTTGGTGTTATATTTGCTATCCGTTACCCCTATGCTATTTTTTAAATAGAAGACAATCTTTAAGAAAAGTGCAAGTGCTTTACAAATTGCTAAACAAGTCTAAAAAGCTTCAATGCAGAATCTCAGAGACATGCTAGTTTATATAACAGTAAATTATGTTATAAAATCTAGGGTACTTTACAAAAAGTGCAGAATCTGAGTCAGAAGCAAACTTAATTTACCATACATCCCAAACAAGGAAAGTTATGTATAATATTTAAGGAAATGGATTTGCATAAACCTATGATTTTTTGCCCAAAATAACAAGAAATTGGGTATTTCCTAGCAATTTTTACAGCTCAACCATCTTCACTTGATGTTTGTAGATCAAAACTTTGCAAACATCAAAACCTTGTTGCACTTTGTACTGCTGCTATTTCCTCTGAAAATACCCCAAATACCGAGCAACACATGCTTACGGTTTTCTATAATTTGCCTTTTTGTGATAATGAAATTTCCCAGAAATAAAAAAACAAAAAAAATTTTTTTTAAGAGAATGCAAAACAACAGCATAACTCTAGGCCTTTGCTTGTAGAAATAAATACAAGTGACTTATCAATAAAAGCAACTATTAATGTGCTTGACCTGACTCCTTAACATGCTTTTGCCAGAAAGAACATGTTTTAACAACAGTAAGCTGGCATTCAGTGTTGTCTGCATGTATTATATGGAGAATGCAAAGGAGTGTGACTATTCCATCCTTGCATTCAGTAAAAAGCATCAGTCTCTACTGTTTGCATGTGCTTATCAAAACCAGGAATCATAGACAATTAGTAAAATAGATGGGTTGAAGAATGATTAATTTGGGGATGTTTTACGAGTTTAGGGATTTAATCCTGGATACTAGCACCACTGACTCCTGAGTGCGATCCTCAGGGCTGTCTTTAACGCGGGGCAAACGGGGCGCTGCTACCCTCGACCATTTCTTTTCCCCCTCCATGGCCCGCCAGTGAACGCGCACGATAAGGAGACCCACCGGGAGGCCCATGCACTAAGGGCCACCCGGTGAGCTTGTGTTAGCAGGGGCCCGGTCGTGCACTGTGGCGCTTTAACAGCGCAGCCAGGCCCTCTTTCTTTTCGGCAACATGGAAGGAAGTGAGGGCCGCAAGTCACTTCCTCCCACAAAGAGATGAGCTGCGCGGGAAAGACGGAGGAGGCAGAGGTCAGGCCGGAAGAGTTTAGGGATTTAATCCTGGATACTAGCACCACTGACTCCTGAGGCCGGAAGAGCAAACCCCAACTCCCAACAGCTTCAGCCACAACTCTCCAGGGTAGGATACTGGAGGGTGGGCTTGTATCCTACCTTGGAGAGTTTTGTGTGTGTCTGTGAATGTGTGTCAGTACATGTCAGTATGCCTGTCAGTTTGTGTGTGTCTGTGAATGTGTGTCAGTACATGTCAGTATGTCTGTCAGTTTGTGTGTGTGTCTGTGAATGTATGTCAGTACATGTCAGTATGTCTGTCAGTGTGCCAATATGTGTCTGTGTGTGTTAGTATGTCTGTCAGTTTGTGTGTGTCTGTGAATGTATGTCAATGTCTGTCAGTATATGTGTGTGTGTGTGTGTCTGTCAGTATGTCTGTGAATGTCTGTCAGTATATGTCTGTATGTCAGTGTCTGTGAATGTCTGTATGTCAGTATGTCTGTCAGTGTGCCAATATGTATGTCTGTCAGCATATGTGTGTCTCTCAGTGTGTGTGTGCCAGTATGCCTGTTAATGTGTGTCAATATGCTTGTCAGTATGTGTGTGTGTGTGTCGGTATGGCTGTCAGTGTATGTGTCAGTATGGCTGTCAGTGTGTATGTGTGTGAGTGTGTGCATGTCTGTATCCGTATGTCTGTATGTGTCAGTATGTCAGTGTATGTTTGTGTCAGTGAATGTGTCAGCATGTCTTTCATGTCTGTGTGTTTTAGTATGTGTCTGTCTGTATGTGTCTGTATAAGTATGTCTGTCAGCGTATATCTGAGTGTGTCAGCATGTCTGTCGCTATATGTGTCAGTGTATCTGTATGTATGTGTCAGTGTGTATATATGTGTGTGTGTGTCTGTATGTAGTGTGTGTGTATCTGTGTATCTTCAAGTGTGTGTATATGTGTATCTGTATGTTGTCATTGTGTATTTCTGTGTAGCTGTATGTGTATATGTGTGTGTATATGTCAATGTGTATATCGGTGTGTGTGTATGTATCTGCATGTGTGTCTGTGTATCTGCACGTGTGTCAGGTTGTGTATCTGTGTGTCAGTCTGTGTGACTTTATCTGTGTGTCAGTGTGTGTATATGTGTCTGTATAACTGCATGTATGTCAGTGTGTATATCTTTGTATCTACATGTGTTTCAATGTGTGTGTGTGTGTGTGTGTGTGTGTATGTGCATACATCTCAGCAGTCACACGACAACACAAAACACAAATACACCCCTGCATTCAAACACCAACACTACATACAAACATACATCTGTGTTAAACATCAAAATTATATATAAACACACCCCTGCATTCAAAAACCAACACTACACAGAAATAAATGCTTGCATTGAAACGCGAACACTACATACAAGCACATCCCTACATTTACACAAACATACTCCATACAAAAACATGCTTACATTCAAACACACAAACACTGCTCAGTGCTAAATACAAACCTGCAAACATAGGTAAATGGAAGATCCCCAGCTGTCAATGCATTGTTGGAGTTGCACGACAGATGGTGATCTACCTTTTTGTCACCCTTGCAATAGAGGGGCCCAAAAAAATTATTTCACCTCTTTACTTTAGTTCCACCACTGCATTGGGGTGGATGTTGTGGTTGCATGCAAGGGAGGAGGGCATGATTGCACACAAGGGAGGAGGGGGGCAGGATCCAGGGGGCCCAAGCAAATGCTTTGCCCAGGGTCCAATCAATAATAAAGATGGCCCTGGCGATCCTACTTAAAGTTCTTTTTACGTTTTATAATTTAGCTGTATTAGCCTATAATTTGCAATTCCCTGTCAATTCTCCACAAATTCTGGCTTTACTTTCAGTTGAATTTCGGGAAACCACTTGAAACATTTGTTGTGTTGAGCTATTTCAATTTTTATTTATTTTTTAACCCCTTAAGGACAAACAAAAGTCATCGAGCTTTTTTGCTTTGATGACGGTTGAACCGTCACAAACGGTCTGGGGGCCTGATCGCCCACCCATTCGACCTAAGGGCTACATAAAAAAGTACATTGTGGGTTGTCTACTTTAAAAAAAATATGTACATGTGGGTGTTATTCAGAGATTTATGACAGATAATAGTGTTACAATGTCACTATTGATAAATTTTAAAAATGTATGTTTTGAAACCGCAATATCCTACTTGTACCTATAGCCCTATAACATGCAAAAAAAAGCAAAAAAGCATGTAAACACTAGGTATTTTTAAACTCAGGACAAAATTTTGAATCTATTTAGCAGTTTTTTTCATTCGCTTTTGTAGATGAGTAAAAGATTTTTCAAGTAAAAGTCAAAAAACATGTATTTTTTTCAATTTTTCATCAGATTTTTGTATTTTTTTAAAATTAAAATACATGAGATTATATAAATAATGGTATGTAAAGAAAGCCCATTTTGTCCTGAAAAAAACAATATATAATTTGTATGGGAACAGTAAATGAGAAAGCGGAAAATTACAGCCAAACACAAACACCACAAAAGTGTAAAAATATTCCTGGTCGCAAATGTACAACATCGCAAAAACAGTCCAGTCCTTAAGGGGTTAAATATATTTCTGTCAAACAGGTGAAAGTGTAAATTTTGACAATAAATCAGAGATGGATCTAACAGGCCACAAGGATTTTTAGATAAAATATTATGGCAGCAGACCTATAAAGAGAAGGGTTCCTTCTAAACCCACTACTCCCACCCTCCACCCCCCCCCATACACACACACACCTCCCCATACAGACACATATACACACACTGACACACAGATAAAGTCACACAGACTGACACACAGATACACAACCTGACACACATGCAGATACACAGACACACATGCAGATACATACACACACACACACACACACCGATATACACACTGACATATACACACACATAAACACCCCTCCCAATATGAACTTATTACAAAGAAAAAGAAGAGAGGAGAAAAAGAAAAATGTTGACAATAAACATGATTATCAATTGGGGTTGAATCATTTTGATCACAACTGTAAATGTCTGGGATTAAAGATGACTTCCTGCCCAGTTTAGCCTTACATATATACCATGCCACTGTACATTATACCTATGTTGATATAATGAGATGCAAGTGCATACATGTGCGATCTGTGAGTGCTTCAGTCTGTTGCTGTTGGACCACATCTATATACCATTATTAGAAAAACATTTCTTACTGCCTAAGGTTGCCATTCATAGCCAACTGTTCATGTATGTCAAAAATTACTTTTGGGATCTGACCTTTTGCAAATATAAGCACAGCTTGTGTACAACCCAGTGCGTTCATACAGGGCATCTAGGCAAGCATTTCCCAGCTACTTTTTGTTGGTATTATTATCACCTTCAGAGACCATTCAGTGAATTATACATACAGCACCTTTCAAGCTTTAACTGACTTAAAATACGATTCCAACCTACAAAGTTATAGTTATAATAATGCTGACGGTATTCTATGATGATAGTAGTCGTTTTATGTCAGTGTTGTTTCAATCTAGTCATTTGATTATTACTTATGGTTGACTGCTCAAGTTTACTTTAGTTTTTGCCATATATGATCTGTTTTGGTATCCTTTGCTTATGTCTATTTATTATAAAAACCCAGAGAGGCCATATATTTTTAATATTTGTTTGACTTTATAGCGATAAAACAAGTTGTTATCTTAAGAAAACAAACTTGCTTTCTTAACATAAATTTTTTTTCTCGAAAATTACAAATTGTTTATTTGACATAACAAATTGTATTCTCGACATAATAAATGTGTTTTCTCGACATCAGTTGTTTTGTCAAAATAACAAGTTGTTTTATGAAGAATATTTTTCTACACTCAAATTCTTGATGTTGCCTGACTAGATGTCATTCATAAAGTGTCCAAATATTTTGAACGGTTTAATGTTAAATTAATTTTACATGACATAAGAGGTAATTATATTTTTGGATGGCTTTGTATAACGTATAACATTTGGTTCTACAGGGAATAATAGCATTGAGCCCTGAGATGTATTCTGCATTATATCATGTGTGATTGAAAAGGTAGGTGAGTTCAGTGCACGCATTAGAGTATTGTTGCGTGTAGATTTTAATATAGAAATGCGTGTGTTCTTTGTAGTTTTGGCACCTTTTAGTGACAGTGACAGTACTTGTAATACAGATATGACATATGAAAGTACACATCTGTCGCATGCAACATCGCCTAGTTTGGCTGTGCAGCTGTCTGTGATGTGAACAGGAAGTCTGCAGATAGCAAACATTAGGTAACTATATCTTTTCATTTATACATTGGCTGGCAATATCTCAAGCAGTGTATGCATTATATCTGTACTCACCTGAATATGAACCTTTCTGTAGAAGAGGGGTTAACTTTATCTATTTTCTAATAAAATAGTATAGTAAAAGTTACAATATGACTTCCTGAGCTTACACCTTAATTGTATTACTTTAATTAAAGGGTATAGCATTCATTGACTGGGTTTTGGCTTTTTTCATTTTTATTAGTTTTCCTACTGATGTGATTGATTGATTGATTGATTGATTTGTTACATATCAAATGAAACATGGTCAAATATATCACATTGTAGAACTCCAGATGTAGATAATATACAATGGTTTGTTTTTTACTAAAATGAAATTGTCATGAATGACTATTGTAAGTAAAAAATTTAGGACAAAATAGCTGAGCTAAACCCAAGGTTTTTTTTTCTGTTTGTTTGTATTTTTTGTTTGTTTTTTTGCAATCCATCTTGATCTAGAATTTAAAAAATGCCCTTTTCGATTTCTATCAATTCCTGGTTTATTTATTAAAATACCCAACTAGCATATACTGTATGAATGAAGCTTTCTATATATCACTAAATAAATCAGGGGTTCTCAACGTTAGTCCTCAGGACCCCCTACCAGTCCAGGGTTTAGGGATTACCTGGGTGTGTCTAAGGTGTTTAGAAAAGGAAAAAAAGAACACCTTAGAGTCTAAGGTGTTTTTTTTCCCTTTTTGTAAACACCTGAGACACACCCAGGTAATCCCCAAATCCTGGACTGGTAGGGGGTCCTGAGGACTGGGTTGGGAACCCCTGAAAGAAATGATCCCAATAACCTTGGTCTCTAGACTCTGCTTGGGCAAACTCTTCCAGATTTCTCTCCAGTAGGTCTGCCAGCTTGAACATGATCGCAGATCGCTCCTGGGAGCTTCTGGAAGACCAGGCTGGAAAAGCATCTTTGGCGGCAGTTACGGCAGCATCCACCTTTGGAGAGAAGAGTGATGAAGTGTGTTAGCCAATATTTTACATAAATCAAAATCTTTATTAGACACCACAGAACTTTTTATTGCCATGACATCACAATGTATAAAATGTTCTTCCATTTGTACAGAGATGAATGTAATGTTAATGCAGTTTCTGCTTTGGAAATAATGGCGAAGCTCAGGAATTGCTCCTGGAAAATTACAAGGGAAGGGAAAACATCCACTACTTGCCCTACACTTGGGCAGGCTATGTTCATGTCTCAAATAGCCTGTTTGATGCAAATAGGTCAAAAGGACTGACTCAGCAGTTAAGTGACTGTAGGGCCAATATGGACGTCTTCTATTATATCATATTTTTGGGGGGGTAGGGTTAGTGTGTACATGTTACATACATTGCAACCTAAATTAACAAAAAGAATATCCTACATGACAAAATTTAAAAAACAAAATGTAACAATTTTTCTATCAGGCCCAAATTACTCTACAATGATAGAGTTAGCAAGAGATGCACATTCTTTTTGCACTGTGCATGTTTCCTTACTAGATTATTTTTGTTGTGCATCCCCCCATCTACACTTACAAGTGCTCATTGCAATGTGGAAGGTTTACACAATGTATAATAATATTTTGTAACTAAAGCCCTGTTGACTTACTGTAAATAAGTATTTTAGAAGCTTTACATACTTCCAAATATATGTAATATTTAGAAATCGTAGTAAATAAAAATGAAGAATTGTATAAACCCATAAAATTTGTAACGCAAACTACCAAGTACCATTGGGCACATTGTTAAAATTCCTTTTTAACTAATTAAATTAAAATATGAAGTACTCTCTTTCCTTTGGATATACTGGGGTGAACGGCCTATTCTTTCTCTAAGTACTGTTCAGTTGACACTATAGTGTGCTGCCACTTCTTCAATGCAATGTGACAGTGTTTACTCTTGACAATACATTTCCCCCCAGCTGCTAAAAGGGGGTTCTAGGTATTAACAGATGACTAGATCTCCGAATTGCCAGCAGGGACCTATATATCTTAAACGCTAAAGCCTTACACATTGCATCATGAAATGCAGCATGGTCCTTGAAGAGAGGATAATAATAACATAGGTAGTGTAAATTGTGTTTGCCTTTTTATCTTCCAAACATCTGTAGGCATTGGGTGTGCACATCCTAATATAGCTGGATGTTGGTTCTTAGATGGCAGAATAAAGTAAGTGTAAACATTAGATGACTCTTTTCAGGAAGAGTTTAGGATGGCTGTGTAAGTCACGTGTGGGGGAGGTGCAACTAGGGCTGCATAAAATAAAGTGATTTTCTCCATAATGAAAGTGAATTAAGTAGTGAAACTTCTGAAGCATGGTCTATATACAATAACTGATTTATTAAGCTAAATTTCTTTTGGTGACTATAGTTCACCTTCAAAGCTTAATTTTGTACATTTAAAGACGATTAATTGATTATTATTCATGTTTATACTGGAGGATATTTCACTAGAGAATTCTGTTAAATATTAACTACGGGTTATCATCCCTGCTTAACAATGTTTGCGCAAAACTCAATGGGTTGTTGTTCTAATTGTACCCTACTCTGTAAGGCCAATGTCTAAATCAATAAATCCGTATAAGAAAATAAAAATAAAGAAATTTCTCATGGAGAATACTTCTTCAATCAATGTACCTAGTTTGTTATGAATTGCTTGTGTTCATCATTTCCCAATACATTTGGGCAATGTTAGAAACTTTGGAGTATTTCTAGCAAGATATGAATTGTGGAGAATTTGCAGCCCAAATTTATGCCAATAGCGGTTTTGAAAAAGCATTCTCTAGTTATTTTTCAAACTTGGCTATTTTGAGTCAAAATTTTGCCATTTCATTTACAAATCATCAAGACTCTGCGTTTCTACTATTTTGACAATATTCAGTTAAATGCTCAGCATTTCCCTGCCATTGAAATGACAGTGCGTGGTTGTTATATTTAGGATACATGAATCAGGTTCTATTGTATTTAGTATGATGACGCAAACCAGAAACACAGCTTACTGCATTAGCAGTCATAGTGAAAATAATTGTTAATATAAGGATACCCTTTGTTCACCATAGCACATAATTAGTATGAATATTTGAACACCAAGTCTGCTCACTCAGGGAAATGGGTTTTATAATTAAACATTTCTCAGAACCTATACTTATTTACATCTGAACTCAGTAATAACTAAAATGGATATCATTTTAATGTGCTCAAGAAAACTCAATCGCTGCTAGTAGCACTCTGATGCTATATGGCACTATAGGCACCCACACCACTTTCGTGACCCTGTCCCGTTAACCCTGCAATGTTAATTATTGCAGTTTCTGAGAAATTGCAATAATTACATTGCAGGACTAAGACGGCCTCTAGTGGCTGTTAATTAGACAGCCCCTAGAGGCACTTCCTGCTTGTTAGGCGACTATTGGTCATATGACACTGGACATCCTCACACTCGAGTAACATTGGAGGGGGCGGAGCGCTGATCCAGCACCGAGGGAGATCGGGAATCATGTAAGGGAAGAGGGGGCAGAGGGAAGTATAGAGCTACAAATACAGCTTTGTATTCCTAGCTATATAGAGCAAAAAATGAGTCGCAAGAGTATTCTGAGAACGGACAGCAGCTAAAATAGCCTGCCCTTTGGTGGGTCCCCGCTCAGAACTCAAGCTGGTTTTAGCTCATCTTGTGCCATTACAAAGAGAACATATCTGAAGCATTTCAGACTGGTCCCACCGATACGGGCAGTCCAGATCCGAAATGCCAGCAAGTTCTCTCTGCACGAGAAATACAGCAACCCCAGACGATCGTTTCAGCCTTGTTAGGCATCATCAGTGAGGCATAGCTGATATCTCTCTAGGCACCGTGAGCAAGGGGTCCACGTCTGGATTACCCTTTAAACTAATGGAGAGCAAAAAATGGGTCGCAAGAGTATTCTGAGAACGGACAGCAGCTAAAATAGCCTGCCCTTCGGTGGGTCCCCGCTCAGAACTCAAGCTGGTTTTAGCTCATCTTGTGCCATTACAGAGAGAACATATCTGAAGCATATCAGACTGGTCCCACCCATACGGGCAGTCCAGATCCGAAATGCCAGCAAGTTCTCTCTGCACGAGAAATACAGCAACCCCAGACGATCGTTTCAGCCTCGTTAGGCATCATCAGTGAGGCATAGCTGATATCTCTCTAGGCACCGTGAGCAAGGGGTCCACGTCTGGATTACCCTTTAAACTAATGGAGAGCAAAAAATGGGTCGCAAGAGTATTCTGAGAAAGGAAAGCAGCTAAAATAGCCTGCCCTTCGGTGGGTCCCCGCTCAGAACTCAAGCTGGTTTTAGCTCATCTTGTGCCATTACAAAGAGAACATATATGAAGCATATCAGACTGGTCCCACCGATACGGGCAGTCCAGATCCGAAATGCCAGCAAGTTCTCTCTGCGCGAGAAATACAGCAACCCCAGACGATCGTTTCAGCCTGGTTAGGCATCATCAGTGAGGCATAGCTGATATCTCTCTAGGCACCGTGAGAAAGGGGTCCACGTCTGGATTACCCTTTAAACTAATGGAGAGCAAAAAATGGGTCGCAAGAGTATTCTGAGAATGGACAACCGCTAAAATAGCCTTTACGAGCCTCGCAGTGAGTAACGGCGAAAGCCGTGCTTTACTCACAACTCTTTTGTGTAAGAGTCAGTTTGTTAGTAGTTTTAGCTATGTGTTTTTGTAAACTTGCTTCTATGTATTTTTATTGCATATTTTAATTATCTGTGATAATAAATCCTTTACCTAAAGTTTGTTAGAATTAAGACACCGCTTCAAGGTATTTCCTTAGCCCTCTTTGTTTGGGGTACAATATCTGGGAATACATTTAAGTACAATCTGTATTACTATTTGCTCCTTTCCTAACAGCTTGTTAAAATCAAGACACTGTCTTATGGTATTTCCTTAGCTCTCTATGTTTGGGTATAATATCTGGGAATACATTTAATACAATCTGCACTATTATTTGCTCTTTTTATGTTTTTTTTCCTACATGCTTTGAGAGATCTATGTATGGTAGACTCTTCCCTGGAGATTAAGTATTGCTTTTTGTTTTACTTAAACCTTTCTACACCTGTAGAGATTTAGGGGGAGATTGCCTAAATTGTCACTTGTCAACAAATAGCTCCACTCTTATTCCTCTTTTTCCTTGTTCACTGCATTGTGTATGGTGTGTTTGAAGCAGTAATTTAAGTTATTAGCTCTAATTAGACTTTTTTCACCTACTAAATAAGCGCTCCAAATATTACCATTTTAAATCAACTTCTGTATGCAGACTTGAAACTGATTTTTTATTTCTGCACAAAATGCAGAAACAATTCAACATATCAGATTTAAAAGATTACTCTCTCTCCGAGAGCAAGACACACATTACCGTAGCTCCGTCTGCTTAATCTGCTAACGGCCGATATCAGACAAAAAGAGGCGCACTAACCAAGTTCTAAGCAGCTCCACATGTACCCTATGATATGGGGAAGAAGACGAAAAAGTCTCGAGCAGATCCCAGCCCAGGTTCCCAAGATATCAATGCTTTTATGCACACGGCCATGCAGCCTGACCCCTCAGAGATGGCCTTCCTTTTCCACCAGCAAGCGATGTGGGCCCCATTTGTAGGGGGGATAGAATTATCTCAGAGCTGTTGCGTGACTTGTTTAAAAGACCTCCTCCATGTCAGGATGTGTCTGGAGTAGTCCCTGGAGAATGCTAGGTGTGCCCCTGGGAGAGCCTTTAGAGGCCCCAATGAGTACTCCCTGGTCAGAGTCCCGAACAAACTTTATGAGCACATCACCAGGGGCTTCCTTGGGTGCTTTGTTAGTCCTGGGGAGGCGAAAGCCGGAATCAACTCCTAGCTGCTTCACTTGTTTAGGCTGAAGAAGGGTTGCTATGAGCCGTCGGCAATAGTGAGGTAGCTCAGTATTAGTGATCGATTCAGGTATCCCTCAGATTCTCACGGGCTGAGGCCTGCACATCTCCCTCGTCGGACAACGACGGCCTGCTGACCAACTTACCTGCAACACCCTTGGAGCTGGGGGACGCTGCTCCTTCCACGAAGGCTCTGATGAAGGACATCTAAGCTATGTTCCATGCCAACATGGCGCAGGTACGAGAGGAAGTCTCCACGCTCACCAGTAGGGTGGCTACAGTTGAAGAAACTGTCCAGGACTCCAAGGTACCAGGATGGCGCAAACGGCCACAGATGCAGCCCTAAGTTCGCTGCAGAAGCGCTGCAGCTCCCTGACAGCACAATTAGCAAATATGGAAGACAGGGCCAAAGCATGCAACTTCCTGGAAGTCAGTTTTTACCGACCGAGCGCACGGCCCCATGCCCAAACCGGTTCCATAGAATCGCGGCTAAATGCTGCTGGGGGACCAACCAGAACCGCAAACTCTTCATGCCGAAAATAGTTACAGGACATTCATGGCTAAGTCCCCCTGAAGTCTAATCGCGGGTTTGGTCCATGCGAACGGCTCCAGGGGGCTAGCGATCGGTTCTATGGAAAGCTGCCGAACCAGGGAATCCAGGGGGAATAAAATATGGGTCTTTACAGTCGTTGACTTCAGAGCCGGATTAAGAGCACAGTGGGCCTGGTGCTGACAATTATGTTTGTCCTAATTACGGAATCTTATCGACCAAAAACACTAAAACAATCATACCTCCCAAGCGTCATGTATCTGATGGAGATGGTGCTGGAGGGAAACTCATAGGATGCAGCTATAAGAAAACACATACCATATTTTTCGCACACTTCAAAAGTGAGGGGAAATGTCTGTGCGTCTTATGGAGCGAATGTGAAGCTTTACTTACCTGTCTTGTAGCGTGGGCCGGCTTCACAGTGCACTCCGCGGTACAGGAACTTCAATTTCAGGTTCCGGTTTCCGGTGGGACTGAAAGGAAGTGCACACTCAGTGTGCACACTTCCTTTCAGTCCCGCCGGAAACCGGAACCTGAAATAGAAGTTCCTGGACCGCGGAGCGCGCTGTGAAGCCAGCCCACGCTCCAAGACAGGTAAGTAATTATGGGACAATGGGAGGGGAGACACTATGGGATGAGGGGGAGACACTGTGGGAGAAAGGGAGGGGGAGACACTATGGGAGAAAGGGAGGGGGAGACACTATGGGAGAAGGGGAGGAGGACACTATGGGAGAAGGGGAGGAGGACACTATGGATCAAGGGAGGGGGAGACACTATGGGAGAAAGGGAGGGGGAGACACTATGGGAGAAAGGGAGGGGGAGACACTATGGGAGAAGGGGAGGGGGACACTATGGGAGGGAAAGTGCACTATGGAACAATGGGAGGGGGGACACTATGGGATCAGAACACTAATGGACAAGGGTAGGAGGGGTTAAAGAACACTATGGGACAGGGAGGAGGGGTTAACAATCACTATGGGGCAGAGGAAAGGGTGGTTAAAATAACTATGGGACAGGGGAGGGGGGGTTAATGATCATTATGGGACAGGAGAGGGGAGTGGATGGTAAGGTACAAAAAATTCCTTAAAAAAATAATATTCTGAACAAACTGTCCCATAGTAAGAAACACTATGGAACAGTTCAGAATATTTTTTTTCCGGATTTCCTCCTCTAAAAACTAGGTGCGTCTTATGGTGAGATGCGTCTTATGGAACGAAAAATACGGTACTCTATGCTAATCTCTCTCTAATTTATGCTTTCATCTTTCAAGTAAATCCATAACCCCTAACAGCAGTGTCCAGTGAAGCAGGAAGTCAATGGGCAGGGTAAAAGGGTGTGCCACTGGCGCAAATCATGTGACAAGACCTGCCAAAAGGGGTGAACATGCCCAAAAAGGGGGCATGTTTGTCCAACGAATTGGAAGGTCAGCCTGGCATGAATGCATGTCAGGCTGCCTGCCAATCCTGCAGGCTGTCCAACTAAGGGCATACTATGCAGGCAGCACCTTGAGCTTGACATAAATGCGTCTAATGATGTGCTCACTCCATTCTTTCTAAGGACTGTCCCCTAGCACTCGCTGGTCCACTTGTCTCCTTACCTTCTTACTAGCAGGTAGAAGTTCCTGGTATATAGTCTGAGACAGAGAAAAGGTGTCTGTAGTGAGTGTAGAAGAAAGGGGACATGCCACAGTGTTAGAGAGACCAACGTCTGCATTACCTAAACTAACTTTAATGTCAGCCAGTGCACACAAGTTTTGGTCCCATACATCCCTCTTAAGCTTCCAAACTTAAAGGGACACTATAGTCACCAGAACAACTACAGCTTATTGTATTTATTCTGGTAAGTAGAATCATTCCATTCAGGCTTTTTGCAGTAAACACTGTATTTTCAGAGAAAATAACTCCACTGGCCGCTCCTTAGATGGCTGCTAGAGGTGCTTCCTGGGGCAGTACTGCCTAGTGTGCAGCACTGCCATTCAGTGTCTCCACCCTTTGCATACAGACACTGAACTTTCCTCATAGAGATGCGTTGATTCAATACATGCGTTGATTCCTGACCCTATAGTGCTCCTTTAAGCAAGAGTATGTGAAGAGTAGTTAAGGTTGCCACCTTTCTTTGAAAAAAATACCAGCCTTAATCATTTGTATAATTAATTAGTTATGCGTGACATCACATGATGTAAATCACAAGAAGTGACATCAGAGAAAATTCCATAAAATCACCAACAAGCTACTCACAGTTTGATTCTGCTGTATAGATGGATTGCTCCCAGTGTCTCCCTGTCTCCCAGTGTCTCAGTCTCGCAAGTCACCCAGTGTCTCAGTGTCCCCATGTTGCCCAGTCCCCTAGTCTCCCAGTGTCTGTGTCCCCATTTCTCCCAGTGTCCCAATGTCTCAGTGTGTCCCCATGTCACTAGGATACTGGGGACACAGAGACATGGGGACACTGAGAGACCCGGGGACACAGAAACATGGGGACACAGACATTTAGGGAAACTGGGAGAAATGGGGACACTGAGACACTAGGGACACAGACACTGGGAGACATGGGGACACTGAAACATTTGGGGACACTAAGACACTAGGGACACAGACATGGGAACACAGACACTGGGAGACTAGGGGACACTGGCTGGGGGACAGACACTTGGGGACACTGGGAGACATGGGGACAGTTGTGGACATAGACATGTGGATACTGGGACATATAGGGACACTGGGAGACATGGGGACACCAGGCACACAGACACTGGGAGACATGGAGACACAAACATTTGGGGACACTAGGGACACAGACACTGGGAGACTAGGGGAAACTGTGAGACTAGGGGATACTGGGAGACTAGGGGACACTGGCTGGGAGACAGACACTTGGGGAGACATGGGAACAGTTGTGGACATAGACATGGGGACACTAGGCACACTGAGAGACATGGGATACAGACACTGGGAGACTTGGGGGCACAGACACTAGGGACACTGGCTGGGGGACATGGTGTCTCCGTGTCTCAATGTCCCTATATCTCACAGCGTCCCGATGTGTCTCAACATCCCCATGTGTCTCAGTGTCCCCAAGTGTCTCAGTGTCCCCAGGTCTCCCAGTGTCTGTGTCCCCATGTGTCCTAGTGTCTCAGTGTCCCCTAGTGTCTGTGTCCCCTAGCGTCTGTGTCCCCAAGTGTCTGTGTCTCCATGTTTTCCAGTGTCCCCAGGTGTCTCAGTGTCCCCTAGTGTCTGTGCCCCTAGTTTCTCAGTGTCCCCATATGTCCCCTAGTGTATCAGTGTCCCCATGTGTCCCTGCTGCCTTTACCCCCATCCATCACTTACCTGAGCTGTAGAGCTGCTGTCTGGACTCTCTGTGCTGTGTAGCTGCTCCCCTGCAGTTCAGTGAGTAGTAGAGTGAGGCAGGGATATTCTGTAACTACCTATCTATGCCTCTCTTCACACACAGTGACCCCTACTGGCCGGTGCTGGTATTGCAGAGTAATTTCCATTTATTCTGAGAAAATTACCTGCATTTGTATTGCCGGTATTACTGCAATACCGGCATGGCCAGGCAGCCTCAAATACCATCTGTGCCATTAAAATACCAGTCAGATGGCAAACCTAAGAGTAGTGTGTAAAAAAAAAAAAAAAAATTTTTTTAAATGGGCCTATTCCATGGGCCTGGGCCTGGAGCTGCAGCTCCATCAGCCCCTATGTTAATCCGGCCCTGGTTGACTTGGCCCGTAGTCTTTTGGCAAGAGGCTGGCTGGCAGGCCCCTCCAAGAGCACGTGATGAGGTTCAGTTCGTCTCAATAGTTTCTTCCTAATGAGCATGCAGAATCTTTAAATGAATTTAAGGGAGGGCCACTTATTGCACAAGTTGTTCAGAGATAGCAGCAGGTCTGTAAAGCATAATGTAGGAAACAAATTTATTTCCATTGTACAGTGCTACAGAATTTGCTGGTGCGATATAAATTATAGTAATAATTTTAAAAACTCAGATAGAAGACATTGCTTCCAGATTTAGCCAAACATTCACATGAGCTGACTTGTCAGTCAGTGATTAAACTGCATGGTACAGAACAGCCAAACCAGCAACTTTATTTTATTCTATTGGTCCTGATGTAGAGTGTCATCTGAGGGTTACTACAAGCAACTTAAATGACTAGGACAAATATTTTCTTTCTATACATTGTTTGAAGCTCTAGCTAATGAAATTCTGTGGTTGCCACAAGTGTTGATTTTAGTGTGCTGCATGATCTATAGTGGCACACTAAATATCTACATTAGTTGAAATTGTTTACATCATAGCTCAACAACCCCTTAAGGATATACACTAACCCAACCAACATATGACTGCAGAACTCCATAGAACTGTTGATATTATTATTGCCATTTATATAGCGCCAACAGATTCCAAAGCGCTTTACAATATTATAAGAGAGAGGATTTAACTATAAATAGGACAATTACAAGAAAACCTACAGGAACAATAGGTTGAAATGGACCCTGCTCAAATGAGCTTACAGTCTATAGATACTGCAGATTCCAACTAAAGGAAAGCTATAAATGCAGTTTTTTCTCACCTCTTCTTTTCCACTGTCTGGCACTTTGCAGTAGGTGTTTCCCGTTGAAGGATCATAGGAATCAATGAACTTAGTACTAGGAACAAATTTACCACCAATATAATTTTGCAGCACTAGAAAAGTCCCTTGTTCCGCCATGTCCAGAGTGAATTGCTAAAATTGCAGACTGGAGTTTGGACTTAAAAAAAAAAAAAAAAAATATTCGAGGCTACACCTCCTACCTCTACAAATATAAAAGACTTGGAATGACTTTCTGCACATTCACCAGTGGTAGTAAATGATTAAGAGCTTGAACTTGGGAAAAGTGTTATTTAAACATGAATTCATTAAACAGATACTGGCACAAAAATGTTATATTCAAAAAGGGCAAGCTAAAGTATTGGAAAATAATCCAGTGGCACAATAGGAGGATTTCACAGTATTTAAACTCAATTGCTTTCTTTTCAAGTTGCACGTGCTTTTAAAAAAAAAAAAAAAAAATTCCTGGTGAAAAAAGATTTAACCCCTTCAGGACCGGACTGTTTTTGCGATGTTGTACATTTGCGACCAGGCCTCTTTTTACACTTTTGTGGTGTTTGTTTTTAGCTGTAATTTTCCGCGCTCTCATTTACTGTTCCTATACAAATTATATATTGGTTTTTTTTTCAGAACAAATAGGGCTTTCTTTACATACCATTATTTATATAATCTCATGTAATTTATTTTTTTAAAAAAAGATGAAAAATTGAAAAAAAAGACATGTTTTTTTACTTTTACTCATCTACAAAAGGGAATGGAAAAAAACTGCTAAATAGATTAAAAATTTTGTCCCAGTGTTTAAATGCGTTTTTTTTTGCAAGTTATAGGGCTATAGGTATCAATAGTGACATTGTAACACTATTATCTGTCATAAATCTCTGAATAACACCCCACATGTACATATTTTTTTAAAGTAGGCAACCCAGGGTATTCAATATGGGGTATGTCCAGTCTTTTTTAGTAGCCACTTAGTCGAAAACACTGGCCAAAGTTAGCGTTCATATTTCTTTGTGTGTGAAAAAAGTAAGATACAAAATTGAACGCTAATTTTGACCAGTGTTTGTGACTAAGTGGCTACTAAAAAAGACTGGACATACCCCATTTGCAATACTTTGGGTTGTCTTCTTTTGCAAATGGTATGCCATCATGGGGGTAATTCTTATTCCTGGGCTACCATACGCTCTCAAAGGCAAAAATAATTGAACAATATATTTGACCCTGTAACTTTCAAAAACGCTATAAAACCTGTACATGGTGGGGGGGGGAGGGTACTGTTATACTTGGGAGACTTTGCTGAACACAAATATTAGTATTTCAAAACAGTAAAATGTATCACAACAATATCAGTAAAAGTGCGGTTTGTGTGTGAAAAATGCAAAAAAAAAAAGTCACTGACAATATCATTGCTGTGATATGTTTTACTGTTTTGAATTACTAATAATACAGGGTAAAATATAGTGCTAGCAAATTAAATTCTCTGGACTTTCGGCCTGGGTTGGCAGGCAGGTCCCTCAAATTGCAATCAATAAAATTACTTAATTATGTAAAAATATTACATAAATATGCACGTAGAATTTAAATATATATGCATATTTATATATTTTAAGTCTACGTGTATATTTAATTATGTAATTTTGTATATGGACATATGTATATTTCGTATTTTTATTTATATATACGTAGATATTTATACAATTTCATTCTAAGTGTATTTTGATATAAATATATATTACTATCAAAATACAGTTAGAATAAAATTTCATATAGATTTTTTTTATTATTTTTACGTTTTTATTTAATTTAAATTACTTATTTGTATTTTATAATAATCTATATATACATGTGTATACGTGTGTAATTTAATTATAAGTGTATTTTTATATTATATGTACCTATTAATATAAAAATACACTTAGTATGACATTAGATATATGATAGACATATTATATAGATATATGTCTATATATCATATATATATATATATATATATATATATATACACACACATATATAATTTTATTTATTAACAATTATTATTTTTTTTTTTACACTAGCAGGGAGACTGCTTGTCTACTGAGCGATCACATGGCCCCTGGGGTCCTAATCCGCCGCGGGGAGACTGTCTGGGCTGCAGGCAGTCTCCTCACACTGGGAGCACCGCCGATCAACACCGGGGGAACGACGGCGTTCGGGTAAGTACCTCTGACCATTAGGATGGTTCAGGACCGTCAGCGGTCGGCAACGCAAAAATGCCGATGACGGTCCTGAACCGTTCTCGGTCCTGAAGTGGTTAAAGAAAAACAACAAAATGTAAATGTGTTTAAGGATCATCTTTGATGGTAAATTTGTTCAATAGTTGCTCAGTACTTCTTGTCCATTCAATCTTAAGTAATTTTCAAACATTTGTGTTGACTTAAAATCAAGTGAAATCCAACTTTTTTCAACGCTATTTTCAAACAACGCAACATTTCTGAACACAATATGTTTTTCCAGTTTGTGTTCCTTTAGGGTAGACCTGTTACTACTGAGATGTTTGGCACAATTCAATAGTAAATGTAAGTTAGCTATGGGTTGTGCTTTTATTTCTTTAACCCCTTAAGGACCAAACTTCTGGAATAAAATGGAATCATGACATGTCACACATGTCATGTGTCCTTAAGGGGTTAAAATTCTCAGTAGCAGCATATCATGGTGTCACAATGTTGGTCTGAACACTTACCTCTACAGCATTTTTCACCCCAGTGTACACATATATATAAGGAATGAAGGACTGGGATTTCAAGAGTAGTGACAGTCTTACTTTAAAGAATTAAAGGGACACTCTAATCAAAATAATCACTAGAGTGCACTGCAGTGTTTACGATGGACCTAAATTTAAATTTAAACTGAAAACATGTAGAGAAACTGCAATGTTTACATTGCAGGGTTAAGACTGCCTCTCCCAGACAGCCACTAGCGTAATGGTTCACAACCTAGTCCTCAAATACCCAAACAGCCCAGGATTTAGGGATTACCAGGTTGTGTGTAAGGTGTTTTTAGGAAAAAGAGGGGAAAAAAAACACTTTAGACACAACAGGGTAATCCTTAAATGCTAAACTGTTAGGGGGTACTGGAGGACTGGGTTGGGAACCATTGCTCTAGTGACTGTTTGGGTGAGGCACCTTCTGCAGTTTCATGTACTTTAACTCTTTGAAATGATGCTGGACGTTCTCCCGCTGTTCATGAAGACGTTCAGGGTCTGCCAAATCCCAAAGAAAAAAAGACCCTATGGGGAAGGCTCAATACTCCCATGGCACTTGCCCTGCATGCACATTAGATTCCTGGATCATACAGATTTTGCAGGAGGAGGAGCCCGATCCAGCAATGAGGGACCTTTGTGCTGGAATTGGCTAAGTATAAAAAAGGTGGTTTGTTTTAAACCCTTTCATGGCCAGGGGAAGGGACAGCGCAGAGGGACACTGTAGTGTTAGGAATACACTTTTGTATTCCTAACACAATAGTGTTCATTTACAAATAGTTTAGAGATTTGTTATTTCTCCTGGACACACTGAAATGCTTCTGGTCTGAACTGGTAGGGTATTTTCCTGCTGTTGTTATATTTGCTCTTATGTCTGGTGTATAGATCTCGATCACTGGCTGCAGGGACGTTTTAGCCGCGAGGCAAACAAGGCATTTGCCTTGGGCGGCATTTTCCAGGGGACGGCAAAAAAAAGACGCCCCCAAATGCCCAGGGCAAATGTCTTGTTAGCCTTGCGGCTAACTGACATGCCGGTCGGCTGGCGAGGGAGCACTTCCTCTGAGCTCTCTGCTCAGCTCCCTCGCGCGCTGCAGAGTAAGGCTGGGAGCCGGAATATGAGCTGGGCAGACAACTCAGAGGAAGTGCTCCCTCGCCAGCCGCCCGCCCAGCAGCCACTGCACCCCCAGGAAGAGAGGGAATCCCCCCAGTGTTCCCAAAGGTAAGGAGGCTGGGTGGGGGAGGTAAATAAAAAAAATGTGTTTGTGTGTGTCTGTTAGCTAGTGTATGCGTATCTGTCAGTGAATGTGTATTTAGAAGGCGGGGCGGGGGGAGCACAAAACCAGGATACACCACTGACTGGCTGGCTGATTTCCCTTACAGCCAGGAGACCTGGCTATAGCATTTCCTGATATGTTTTGTTTACTGTTGCCTAGCAACATGGCATGCTGGGAAATCTGGCGGCTGGACCCAGGAGGACTCCTATTCAGCACTGATTACAGAGGGGGATGGCTGTGGACGTTTGTTTATTGTATTTTCTGTATTTAAAGGGTGAGTGAATCATATGTGGTTGAGGGACATGGTGCATTGAAAAAGGGTTATACCCAAAACATTTGTTTAATACTCTTTCCTCCAATAAATGTTGGTAGCACTTTGTGCACATAGCAACATTTTGCGCAGCCTCTATTTGTTTGATTTGAACTGGTAGGGTAAAGCAGAAGTTCCCAGTTTTGCATTATAATATCAATAAATTCCAACATGGACAAAATTTAAGGACTCTCTCAGCCAATGAATGTACCCAAGTATTCCACTTTACCCTACCAGTTCAGACTGGAAAGTCTGTGGGCACCCAGCAGATATGGTAAACTGTCAAATTGTTCTGAAACAGTTGGACAGTGTTCTGTTGGACTATGCCAGCAGACTCTTGGCACTATAACCACAACAGAGAGCTGTAGTGGTTATGAAACAGAGTAAAGGAACACTGTAGGCACTTAACTTAATTTTACTTGTTATAGTGCCTGAAGTTCTGCTCCCTTTTCCCCCCTCAGTGAGATTTGTTGGAAAATAGTTCAGTCAATGGTAGCCAATAAAAAAACAAAGGTAAAGAGTAGGGGTTCATGGGTCTTAGATAATGCTTGGACAGGTCATTGTGCAAACTAGGCAAATGCCTGGTGGGACATGTTGTAAAAGTGAGGATTGTTGTGAATTCAAATTGAGGTTCAAATTTAAGGCAAACATAAAAAAAAATAAAAAAAAAATTTTAAGCCGAGGCCCCTAATTTTAGCACACAAAACTGGGAAAACTTATTGACTCGAGTATAAGGCTAGGGTGGGAAATGCAGCAGCTACTGGTAAATTTCTAAATAAAATTAGATCCCAATAAAATTACATTAATCGAATATTTGCAGTGTGTGTATGTAGTGTGTGTATATATAATGAATGCAGATTGTGTGTTT